CAGGTATCACTACACACCTACCAGAATAGTTAAACTAAAATTTACTGACAACATCAAGTGCTGGTGAGGATGTAGAAACCAGACAAGTACATTGTGGTGAAAATATAAAATGGCACAGCCATTCTGGAAAACTGGCAGTTTTTAACAAAAGGAAACATGCAACTACCACATGATCTTGCCGTTGTACTCCTAAGCATTGGCCACAGAGAAATGGAACCTTTATGTACCCACAAAAACCTGTATGAGAATGTTCATGGCAGCTTTATTCATAATTGCCCAAACTAGAAATAACTCATATGTCCTTCAGTGAGTGAACAGTAAGACAAACAGTGGTACATCGATACCATGGAGTACTACTTAGCAATAAAAAGGAACAAACTCTCAATATACACAATGACCTGGATGAATCTTTAGAGAATTCTGCTGAGTGGAAAAGCCAGTCCCAAAAGATGAAATTCCCTATGACTCTATTTACATAATATACTTGAACTGAGAAAATCATAGATATAGAGAATACATTAGTGATTGCCAGGGGTTCAGGACAGAATCGTAGTGGGGAGGAAAGTAGATGTGACTGTAAAAGGGAAATATGAGAGATCCTTGTGATGATGGAAATGTGCATGCACACAAAGTGTGTACTGTATAATGTATCACATGATGGTACGGTATCAATAAAGGTGCAGAGTTAAAACTATTTTGTATCTTGACTGTGTCAATATCAGCTGTGATAGTGTGCTATAGTTTTGTGAGTATAGTTTTATAAGATGTTGAGTTACCATTGGGTAACATGGGTGTAATAATCTGTTTCTGTTGCTTATAACAAAATACCTATAACTGGGTAATTTATAAAGAAAACAGATATTATTGCTTACAGTTTCAGAGGCTGGAAAGTCCAAAGTCCAGGGAACGCATCTGGTGAGGGCCTTGGTAGTAACAGTGACGCTGGCAGAATGGTGGAACAGAGAGAGAGCTCCTCATGTGCTCTCCTTTTAAAGCCCTTAGAACCATGCCCAAGGTCGCCATTACACCATCAAATGGACTAAACCATTCACTATGGCATGGTGCTCACAACCTAATCACCTGTTCAAGGCCCCACCTTTCAACTACCATAATAAGATGTCCTACTCTTAACAGTTACAGTGGGGATTAAGTTGTGGGGGGACGTTTAATCCAAGACAATGGGAGAAGAAAGTAACTGGAATCCTTCTGTCTGATTTTTACAGCTGCATGTGAACTTACAATTATTTCAAAATAAAACCATTAATTTAAAAATAGGCAATGCAGCTTCTGCCTGGCTCTTGTTCTTAAGTCACACTTATTTGGAAACAAACTTCTACGTTGTGAGGATGCCAATCAGCAACATGGACAGGCCGTGCATAAATACTTGGGCTGACAGCCCTAGCTGAGTTCCCAGATGACAGCCAGCATCAAGCACGTGTGAGTGAGCAGCCCTAGAGATGATTCCAGCCCCCAGCTATCCTTGCAACTGCCTTGAGCTAATACGATATGGAACAGAGACTAGCTGTCCTAAGAAGTCCTCCCCAAATTGAAGATCTGTGTGAAAAATAAATGCCTGTTGTTGTTTTCAGCCATTAATTTTAGGGTGGTTTATTACATAGTAATAGGTAACTGGAAGAAGTGACTTTTGTCTATGAACATTCCACAGAGAAGAGAATGGCATTTCAATGCACCTTGGTGTTAAGCAATGACAACATTTTTTGAAGTATCATCAAATTGTACCTTCGAATGGTTAAAGACTGGCTTCATTTCAACTACTCTCAGTTAGTGAGGTTTTATTATAGCAGCTGTATGTCCAAATTACCAGTTGGACATGTCATTTGGTTGAAGGTTTTTATGCCACTGATGGATATAGCAGGCAATTTGGAAGATAAAGTTTGGATACTAAAATGGAATGCCTGAGATTTTCAGGAGTTTATGGTGCAGATTATTTGAAATTAGGATCATCTTGAAACATCTAAGAAATGTATATACACATATAATTATTACTGACATATAATTATAAATCGTTATTTACAAGTGGGTTATTATGAACTTCAAATTATCATGGCTTAATAAAATACATATATTTTATAATTAGAATTGATTATTAGTGTGAAGTCACCTATACATTCTCTTGCTCTTTCAAATAAATCAGGCTATATACAAACCTTCTCATGAGGCTTCAGGCATTTTTACTCTGCTGTGATGCTCTGTCATGTTTAACATGGCATATGAGAGAAGACGAGATACAAAATCAGGGTGGACATTCCTGGGTAACAGTTAGTTTCTTCCTGCTTCCAATTCATCAAATTGCCCACCTAACATTTGTCAATAGCCCTCTTATCTGGTTTATGCTTTTTCCACCTGGGAATTCCTGGCTTAGCTGGTAAGATGCTGTTTTCTCCCTGGTACTTCCAGCATCCCCTTGAATCATTACTATTTATTTTTGGATCTGAGCCTACCCAGACTAAGAAAGTTTCCTGAATCTTTATACTCTTAGTCTCATGGTTGGAAGTTAAAGTAGCTTAGTAAAATTTTAGATTACCTTTTCTTCAATTCCACTTTTGTTTCTCTTCCAGAACATTCAATCCTCATTTTCTCTCTTCCCTTTTTTCACACTGAGACACATTTACATTGCCTCCTACCACACCACCTTTGTGTCATATGACAAGTGTTATGGAACAGGCTTTTTTTTTTTTTTTCTGGAGCCAACCCAACTGAGTTTTGAATACTGGTTTCCCCTCTGTCTAGATATATAACCTGGGACAAATTGTTTAAATTCCGTAAGCCCTGGTCACTTGTAAAGTGGGAATAATAATTACTTTTGGTAGAATTAATTGAGATATCTTCACCTGTTTTCCTTTCATTCTTCAAACTTTGAAGTTTGAAGATTTAATGAATGGTGTTGATTGATTGGATTGGGAGACTGGCCTTAAGGGAGAGGCTGATTCCGGAGGTCATGATGGGCAAGGGGACTAGAAAGAACAAAGGTCAGATGTCCCTTGAACCTGTGCTTTTGGAGGTGTGAAGAAAAGCATTTCTGATACTTTTTCTTTTTCTTTATATTTAGGACTCTGTAGGGAGGAAGATAAGGGGAGAGGGATGGAAAAGAGATGGAAAATTCTATCAATGGGAGAAAGAGGAGCTGTAAGGAGAGAGAGAAGGGAAATCTTCTAAAACATAGAAAGATCACATAATATTATGAAAAAAATGATTATTTTTAAAACATTCATAATCCCGCTCCCTTACACATAATTGATTTTTATATTTTCATATTCTATCTTGGATCTTGATTGAATTCCTTGTCTTATGTGGTTGCAACTTCAGGGAAACAAAATTTGTGTTCTCTGACCTGATAAATGTGTGATACTGATTTCAATCCTCTGTTTAATCAGAATTCACCCATCTTCGACTATTTTTCATGTTTACTATTGATGACCAAAATAACCAGGTCTAACTTGTGTTTGTCCTAGTGTTTCACAATTTTGGTCATAAAAACTCCAGAATAAATCAACTTAATATGGGTCTTCTTGACTCTAGTAACGTAGAATCGGGTCAGAAAAACTACAATTACTCTCTGCATAGATGATATATAAATACATCGTTCGCCAAATTCTACATGCCTTTTGACTGGGTCTCATTAGCAGAGGGTGGCCTTGGGCATTAAGTGTGGCCATTGGCCAGCACGTAACTGTTTGGACCAGTAGGGGGCGTATGAGCTCCGGGGCACGAGCCCGAGTAGCCAGGGGGCGTGGCTGCTGCCTCCTTGACGGACAGCTAAGGATGCGGGCGAGGATGAGGTAATAGCAGCCGGCGCGAGGAGGTCGTGGGGGTGTGCACGCTTGTGTGTGCGAATGTGAGTGTGCGAGTGCGTGCGCGAGCCAGAGTCACGGCGCGTCTCGGAGCTCGCGCTGCGGGCAATGATCACGCTGCAGTAAAGGAAGAGACAAAGCGCGAGGAGGTCGTGGGGGTGTGCACGCTTGTGTGTGCGAATGTGAGTGTGCGAGTGCGTGCGCGAGCCAGAGGCACGGCGCGTCTCGGAGCTCGCGCTGCGGGCAATGATCACGCTGCAGTAAAGGAAGAGACAATTCCATTTCTGGGAGGAAGGCTGCAAAGTTGCGACCGGGCGACAGCGGCGGTCCTGGGGCCGTGTCATGGCGGGTCGCTGCTCGACAGCACAGGACTGGGGAACCCCCCGCAGGCGCGGGTTTGCCTTCGCGCCCCGCCCGGGAGGGGCGATTCATTCTGGAAGCAACTGAGCAGAGCCACAGGGAGGGGGAGCTCTCCCCACGGCGGCGACCGCGTTTCGTGCGGCGTAAGGGTGGGGAGGGCGAGGAGAGAGGGGAGGGGAGCGGAGCGTGCCATTCCGAGCGCGGTCGTGCGGCCAGATCCCACCCCAGCGTCTGCAGAGCCCGAGACGCAACTGGTGCGCGGGCTCGGTCCTCGCCTCGCGGACGGCCCCAGCTCGCGGCCGCCAGAGCTAGGGCAGCGCGCCTGCTGGGTGGCTTTGCAAGGAGGGGGCCTGTTTGCAGACAGCTGGGCATTTGCATGAAGCGACTCGACCCCAAGGAACAGCGGCTGCAGCGGCGGACCCCGGCGGCGGCCGTATAATGTATGCTATACGAAGTTATTACGACTAACCTAATTCTGCAATAATGACTTCTTATTATTTCCCAGCCATACAGATGAATCAGTACATCAGATATGGTTGTTTCATTCATACAGATTTCAATGTCCTCACAATTTCATTAATAACATTTTAATATATTTTGAGAATTCACATTCTATTTTATAATCAGCCATTCTTTTTTTCTTTTATTATGAAAATTTTTTTCAATACCCAGGGTTTTTAAAAGCATGCATCACTATCTCCAAAAGGTCTTATGTCTTCTCTTAGAAATACCAGCACTTCCAAACTAGAGGCTTTGATGAGTTGTACATTTTAATCAGATAGCTTGTCTCGCAAGTTATGCATATTGACAGAAAAAATAACATAAAACATGATGGCCGTGGTGGTCTGGGAATGGCTGAACGAGCACGGCCGGTGGCGTCCCTACAGCCCGGCCGTGAGCCACCACATCGAGGCGGTGGTCCGCGCCGGCCCCCGCGCCGGGGGCAGCGTGGTGCTGGGCCAGGTGGACAGCCGTCTCGCGCCCTACATCATCGACCTGCAGTCCATGAACCAGTTTCGCCAAGATACGGGTGAGCCGACCGCCCTTTCCCCACCTGCATCCACCTCCCCTGCCTGTCCCGGGACCTCCCTCCTTGAGAGCCCACCTTAGCCCACCAAGTTGGCATCTCCGTGCAGCTTTGTCACCGAGAGGTGATGGTGGGAGGAGCTTCACTCCTTTGGTTCTCTTAGGACCACCCCCCCGTTGCCCCCCCAACTTCCCCGCAAATAAACATCCATGCAAGTAGTATCAGTGTTCTGGTTATGCAAACCTAGCACATAAGAACCGCCCCCCCCCCCCCCCCCGCCGTCTTTTCAGCGCTTGGTAGCCCTGGGTCCTTCCGTGTAGAATTCTGGCGCTGCCCTATCCCACAAGCAATCCTAGCTCCTCTCAAAGGCTTCCTGCTTTCGTTCCTTGGCTGCTCACACCTCGTCGGACCCTGCTTTGCCTCAGGCCCCCTTGGGCCTGCCATACACCCCCCTCACCCTCACCCTTCCTGCCTCTGCCCCTACTGTGTGGGATGCCTTCCCACAACTGTGTCCTGGGTGTGGGAACCGGGGCAGAAAGAAGGGATTCCCCGGAGGCTCTAGCTGTAGTCTAGTCTGGGAATAGAGACCGGAGTTAGGGGATTCCAGGGAATGAAGCGCCCTGGATGCTGTGGCATTGGCGAATGCCTCTGCTTGTGCACTCCAAGTACAGAAGCAACAGCCCAGAGCAGATGGAGAGCGGAGGGGGAGGGACGGAGCTCCGGAATGCCTGGCAGGGAATCCACTCCCTTTGTCCATGGAGGAGGAGGCAGATTCCTAAGGAGAAACTGTCCCCAAGCTTCCTTCTGAAACTGTCGCCTATGACGGACACTCTGATCTTCCAGAATGCTAAACTCCTGTCTTTTCATGAGAATCAAGTTGCCGCTATGGCCACCACAACCCCACTTCCCAACTGACCAGCCTTTCCAGGTCAGAGCTAGGAAGAGAGCCTGCAGGGTGGAGGTCAGGGTTGGGGAGGAGGATCTTTGGAAGGAGGAAGGCAGAACTGCATCTCTGCTTGCTCCAGTGTATGCAGGCGTAATTGATGAACTAGGACAAGTCTCTGTCTCTCTAGTAATCTCTTAAGGGACAGGGGTGGGGAGGTGGGGGGTTGTTTCTGGAATTCTGGCTGGGCTTTCCCAAGAGTGTAACCAAGGATCCTGGAGAGGCAGGTGTGGTGGGGAGGGAGCAGAGAGGATGTCTAGGAGAGCCCTGCAGCTCAGAGAACAGCTGTTTGAGCAGGCATCTCAGCTTCTTTGGAAAGCTCCCACATCCTGTGTGCTAATTAGGATCGTCATGGGAAAGGACTGTCTTTCCACCCTCATGTTGCATTAACTCCCAATAGCCTCTTTGCCAAAACCTCTGCAGTCACTGGTCAATTGAGTAAAGGTTTCTGGGGAGAGGTTCTGGAAGTGTTAGCATCTGGAGGAGCTTAAACCTTGGTGGAAAGGGAGGGAGGTGGACCTGAGAGAGAATGAGAGGAGAAGAGAATGAGGAGGAATGTGGGAAGATTGAGAAAGAGGATTAAGTGCGGCTGAGAGAGAGGGAGAGAATGTACTTGGACAGAGGTTGTGGAAGTGAGGGTGGAGGCGGCAGATGGAGGAAGAGGGAAGCAGGTGTTAGCTTTTCTATTTCATAGTAAATCTCTGCAGCATATGGAGAACCACCCAGGAGACATAAAATTCCCAGCCCCTCTCGTACATTTGGGCAGGGCAAAGGATTAATCTGTGTTTGTGGGTACCTAGGATGGGCATGGTCCCTAGGAGGGGTCATGACCTAAGGACCCTTTTGACAGAAATGAAGCTGTAGAGAAGACTGGGCTGAAGGACAGCCTACCCCTCAAGTCTGATCATTCTTACCTGCCTGGTGATTGGCAATTTAGTCAAGGCTGGGACCCCTTGGATTTTAGACCTGAGGCAAAGAACTAGCCCTGGATCATAGCCAGGGTGTGTTTTACATCCACACTGTTTTGGTTTTATCCACTCCTTCCTACTGTCAGTCGGTGAACCATACTGAGCACATCTCCTATGCCAGGGCCTGTGAGGGGTGCTGAAGGCACTGGGCTGAATTCCCAGCAATGCTGGGTCTGTCAGGATGCTTGTCAAAGTAGAATAGAATCTCTGGGTTTCTGAACCCCCCTTCTCTCCCTTCTTTACCAACACACACATAGTTCCCCTCAATATAGCTCATTGACGAGGCCATGACAGGGTAGGAACTTTGAGGTTGGCTCCCAGGCAACCTCAGCCAAGCCTCGGCAATGTTTAATTAAATTACTCGCTGTCCCCAAGCCACAATTTAAAACTGGGAACCAGAAACATCCCCATAAGCAAAAGAGCTGGAAGTCCCCTGCCTAGAGGCGATTCCTCTCTTTTTTTGTTGCTTTCTCTACATGGGGACATTTCCTGACATAGGTGCTTTGTCTTTTGAGAAGTTGCCTGCCTGGCTGTTGAGTGTGTCCCCAGTCTCTCAGGACCTCATCCAGCCTGTCTCCAGGGAGATGGCTGGGAGGTTGCAGACACCCATCTGCCCGCCTCTGTTTGCTCTGAGCTCATTTGTACTCTATGCTGGTCTCCTCTAAGCATTTTGAGCTAGAGAATCTGAAAGAAGGGAAGAGATGGGGTTAGATAGAGAGGATTGGGTCTTGGCCAATCACTTCCAAAAGCCTTGGTTGTCTCCTCTCCACCAACCATCATTTACCTTGACTGGGCAATCCTTTTTCTGTTATAGGGCGGTGACTGAAGAGCTTTACTTCAGGATCACTTGCCCCTGTATCTTCCAACACACTGGCTTGCTGCCATCTCCAGGGCCCCAGCAGCAGGATGGAAGGCTGAGAGTGGAGAGACATGACTCAAGCTCTCATCCCAGACTCACTGCTTACCGTGTGACCTTGAGCAGGTCCTTTAACTGCTCGGGCCTCGTTTTCCTCTGTAGAATGAAGAGCAGCTTTAAGATTTCTTCTTTTTCTTTCTTCCCATCATGCAGATAGGCAGGTGAATGGGTTTGGCCCCTGCACGTGGTGCGAAGGAAGGTTCTTTCCAGCACAGAGTTTTCTGTGCAAATTTTGCCTTTTTTATGTCTTTAATGCAGGGAGAAGGATCAGATGGAGAGAGAGTGAGTTTGATTAAAGGATTTAGCAGAAGCTGATTTTTAACCACCCTCCGTCCCAATACCCCTACCCTGTGTGAGCACAGGAGTGGAGGAGAGGCAGGCCTCATGATGACCGCATGGTAATTACAGTGCAGAGGATGTACCATGTGTCTGCATCGAACCAAACACACTGCACATACTATCTTGTTTAATCCTCACAACAGTTTTATGAAAACCTTATTATTATTTCCCTGTTATAAAGAAAGAAAACAAGTTGAAAGAGATTAACTTGCTCAGAGTTTTACAGCTAGTCACTGGCAGACCTGAGATTCTGAACGAAGTGCTGCCTGCTCTTCTCCATTAGTGAGCAGTTGTGGAGCAACTTACTTGTGCAGGCACTGTTTCAGGCATGTGGGCTATAACACTAATAAGACGTCCAAGTTTTTGTCATCCTGGAACATTCTAGTGGGGTGTTGGGTGCTGGTAAGAGAGGCCTGGGACTTCTTGGACACAGTGCATGTTTGTCTTTTTCTTTAGTTTGTGAACATTATCTATCCCTCTCCTATTAGAGGCCTTTTCCTTGGGTCACTGCACCATAGGACAAGATGGAATCTCCTCAGATTCTCTAGTTTATGCTCCTGATTCTAGGAAAATCCAGGACTAGCACATTCCAAATAGGGTAGTCTCTGAAAATAATCGCAGAATGAAATCCTGCCATTTGTCTTGTCCCAAAACTTTGGTCCTGAGGTCTGTTTACTGTCCCTAACTACCCCCTAGGGCTGAGCTGAACTCAGTAGCTTTCCCTCCCCAAACCAGCGCTTCCTCTTTACACCCCCCCCACCTGTTAATGGTGCCACGTTTTGCCACTTTCCCATGGTCAATGCCTCGTTTGACTCATTTCATCATTCAGAGTCTTATTTGGGTGACTAATATGTATAGGCACTGTATTAGTACATTTCTGTTGCTTATAACAGAATACTTGAAACTGGGTAATTTATAAGAAAGCGAAATGTATTTCTTATGGTTTTGGAGGCTAGAAAGTCCAAAGTCCGGGGAACACATCTGTTGAGGGCTTTGTTCTTGGGTGGCGACTCATTCCACAGCAATGCAGGGGGATATCATCACATGGTGAAAATGGCTGAGCAAGAGAGAGCTCAGCTTCTCACTCCCTGTCCTTATAGAGCCATCCTAACCATGCCCATGACCACCATGAAACCATCAACTGATTAATCCATTCACTAGGGCATGGTCCTCACAATCTAATCATCTCCTAAAGGCCTCACCTTTCAGTTACCTTAAGAGGATCCCCACCCTCTTAACACTCACAGTGAGGATTAAGTTTCTAATACGTGAAACTCTGGGGGACATATTTACCCACAACAGGCATGTAGAACATGTGGCCCAACAGTTGAAACTTTAGTGTGCATGATGAAAACTCAGGGTGGTCCTTCATATGCAGATTCCCAGGCCCTGGAGATGCTGACCTAAAGGTCTTGAGGGTATTGCTGATCCGAACCCCAGGAAGTTCTGAAGGAGGTGGTCCTGGGACCTCACTTGGAAAGCATCCAGCTACTCATGGTCAAGTCCTACCCATGTCCTTTCTGTAGGGTCTCTCCAGACTGTAGCCTCCTTTTTATTTTCCCTGCCAACACCCTTCCACTTACCTGGAACTAGTTAACAGAGCAGCTCTGCTCTTTTCACTTCTGTTTAACAAACTTCCCTGGCTCCTCATTGCCTACAGATGAAATCTGTCACAGCTTGCTTTTTCAGACCTTCTATGCCCTGGCTCTAACATACCTTTCCAGGTTTATCTTGCCTTATATTTTCCTTTACTCCTGCCAAATAGAGGACCCTTTTACCTTCATGCATTTCCTCAGAATTTTGGGGGAAGGAACCAGCATTATGATGAATCAGAGATGCATGGCAAGGGGAAGAGATTGAAAGCCAGTGTGACAGAAGTGTGGGCAGAGTGCATCAGGGTGTGAGGAGCCGCAGAGGTTCGTAGGTGGTGGGGATTTCATTCCTGACTAAGGGGAATTCATGGAAGGGATTTAAACAGGGAGAGGATGTGGTCAGCTTTCTTCCAAACATACATTTTGCTGGCATCTTTCTATGGCACATTCTGCTTCCTAAATAGTCATTCACACACATGTCTTCTAACCCTGTTTTAGATTATAAGCTACTTGAGGAATGGTTCAATCTTTGCATTCCCCATAGCAGCTAAAGGGTGCTCAGTGACATGTGATAAATGATTAGATGTCCAAGTAGCCAGAAGTCTTCAATCAATCACAGCACAGTTTGTGGAGCCCGTGTAACTGCCAGACACTGCATTCGGCACTAGAATGCAAAGAGCTGCACAGTGGTATCCCTACCCCCACTTAGGGCACCATGTAGAAACACTGGTGCACATCAGGCGAAGTCCAGACATGCGCCCCACACTGAGGGTGTGGCCGGGGTTGGGAGAACATTTTAAGAAATGAATGGCAAGTGGCATAGGACCTAAATGATGAGGAGAATTTCAATAGGTAAAAGTGGCAAAGGAGGGCATTCAGTAAAAGAGACCTGGGAAATAGTGGGGGATGGGGTCAGGGAATACCCAGACAATGCATGAGTATAAAAGGGGTGTCTGGTATGAGTAGAGGAAAATACAGGGGATAGAAGAAGATAAACCTGGGAAGGTGTGTTATAGAGCCATGGCATAGTTTTTAGAAGTTTTGTGAGAACTCTCAGTTATCTCCAGGACTGCTAACACTATTGTTAATAAAAAAAAATTAAAAAAAAAAATGCCTTTTAGGCACATTTGTGGGAATTGGTCAAGTACATTGTCCCTGCTGCCCTGGAAAGAATATAAAACAATGTCATTTAAACTCTCTAAACTTAATACCTTCATCTGTAAAAGGTGTTTCATAGGATTGCCATGAAGATTATATGGGATGGGATATGTGAGGTGCTTTCTAAGTAATAAAGACTGTGCAAATATTAGTTATGTAGAAACTTTCTCTCTCTCTGTCACACACACACACACCCCTCCACATCTCCTGAACTAAACTTTCCCCATGACTTCTTCATCCTGCTTAGATATATAATAGAAAATAAATTACAATAATAATCACCAACTTTTGTTGAGCTCTTGCCATGTAACGGTGCTAGTTTAGAGTTTTATATTTATTCCTTCTTTTAATCCTCAAATCCACCCTTTGAAGTAGCTACCTGGGCCCCAAGCAGATGAGGAAACTGAGGCTTAATCTCACAGCTGGAAGGGACAGAACCTCCCCTGTTGGACCCAAAACCCGTACCCTTTGTTCCCCATCAAGCTGGCTATGTCAGAAGGAAATGGAGACTAGGGAAGTACTGCCTCCCTCCTCCTCTCATCCCAGTATCCCCATGTCCCCCAGCAGAGGCCCTGGTGCTGAATAGGGGATTGTTCTGCATCTCTCTCTAGCCTCTGAATGTTGATGTTTTGGGTCATTAAGGGGCTTGGAGATGGGGTTGGGGGTGGGTTATGACCCTGGCAAAGGCCTGAATAGCCATTGTTCCTTTTCTTCCCCCCTTGAATGGGATTCTGTCCCCAATCTTGGTGTCTCCCTCTGGGTTAGAGGAGGGGGTGGGTCAGAGGCCGGAGAAGGGAAACCTTTTCCCACCACTTTGATGGGCAGAGCTTACGCCTTTGGATGCAGAGATTCCAGCACCCTTGGAGCCCTCCCTCGCCTCCCCACCCTGCCTTGAGGCAGGCATCTTTAGCCTTGGTGTTCATATCATCAAACGGGCCCTGGTTGGGATGGGACTAGATTCATTAAGGTTTTGGGTGGGCAGAGGAGAAAGGGGCAACCGTTACAGGCTTAGCTCCCTTCCAGTCTCACGGATTCATTTCTGCTATACCATTACCCTGTAATAACCCTAGCCTCTTCCCTGTCCCACAGTGACACTGTCAAAATTAAGACAATCCTACCTTGAGGAGAGTTTGAGTTTCTTGAAAGAAAGATGTTAGAGAATTATAAAATCACTCTCAATACCACTGGGAATATTATTTTTGTTGAAATAAGATTTAACGTTGGGAAATACGACAGCGTTTTCTCAACCCGATTTCCCTTCCGCATACAGTAACACTCCTTTTATTTATTTTTTTTAACCACACCCGTAAAAGTACAGAGAGCCAGCTGCTTCACCACCGCCTCTGGGCAGCCTTCCCAGATGGGGGTAGAGTCTCCCCTCTGTCCTCCACCCGCATACAGTAACACTCCTTTTATTTATTTTTTTTAACCACACCCGTAAAAGTACAGAGAGTCAGCTGCCTCACCACCGCCTCTGGGCAGCCTTCCCAGATGGGGGTAGAGTCTCCCCTCTGTCCTCCACGCTCCTACAGCCTGGTGGTCTATTCCTCCATAGCCCTTGGTGCAGGGGCATGTAGAGAGACAGGGGAGAAGGAATATGATATTTATGAGCACCTACTGTGTGCCAGGGGTTTTATATGCCATCCTGCAAATTATAGTGTGTGCATGTAAAATCCAGTATCTGGCATGTACAAATATTTATTTGTTGGATGAATGTGTGAGACACATTTAATTTTCACAAAACCCCTGGGAAGGAGTTATTTTCCTGTTTCCCAGGGGAGAAGAGGAGACTGAGGGGGCCTATAGCGGTTAGTAAGTGAATGAATTTGGCTGCAAACCGAGGTACCCTGACCCCCAAGGCACTCTTTCTGCTTCCCCAGCTGCTTCCCATGCCCTTCCTGCTGTAACTCATCTGCCTCCACCCTGGTTTGACTGTGGACTCCCTAAAGTCAGGAACGAGACATCTCAACGAGCGTAGTGCCCTGCACACAGTAGGACTAGCTGACGCTTGCCTGCTAGTGGAGTACAGTGCAGTGCAATGCCACGCGGACCCTGACCTCTCCTCTGTCCCACTCTGGCAGGGACCCTCCGCCCGGTTCGTCGCAACTACTATGACCCGTCCTCTGCCCCCGGCAAGGGCGTGGTGTGGGAGTGGGAAAACGACAGCGGTTCCTGGACGCCCTACGACATGGAAGTGGGCATCACCATCCAGCACGCCTACGAGAAGCAGCACCCCTGGGTCGACCTCACTTCCATCGGCTTCAGCTATGTCATCGACTTCAGCACCATGGGCCAAATCAACCGGCAGACCCAGCGCCAGCGCCGCGTGCGCCGGCGCCTGGACCTCGTCTACCCCATGGTCACGGGCGCCCTGCCTCGGGCTCCGTCCTGGCCGGTCAGCCCTGGCTCGGCCGCCTCGCCCCCTGCGCCCCCTTGCTCCTGCCCACAGTGTGTCCTGGTGATGAGTGTTAAGGCGGCCGTGGTCAACGGCAGCCCCGGGCCCCTGCAGCCCCCAGCCACGCGCAAGAACGCGCCCCCCTCTGCAGGGGTCAAGCTGCCCCCCGCCCCAGGCCCGGGGGCCAAGCCTCAGGACAGCACGCGCACCGGTCGAGGCTCAGTGAAGACCGCCCCGTCGCAGGGGATCCGACGACAAGCCTCTAGCACGCCGGCTGGGGCAACTGCGGGCTCCCCTGCCAGCCCCCCAGCAGCCAATGGCAAGACCGGTAGAATGGCCCTGGCCACCTTGAATCGTACCAACCTGCAGCGACTGGCCATCGCCCAGTCCCGGGTGCTGATCGCCTCCGGGTAGGTGTTTTCATGGGTGCCTGACATAGATAGGATACAACTGATCTTCTGGGTCAGACTAAGGAGGGACCCCGCATCTCCTGTGACTCCTGGCTGCAGGTGGAAGGCAGGTGATGTGGTGTCTGAGGGACGGTTTGACGTTTTGGGGTTTTCATGGGTGCCTGACATAGATAGGATACAACTGATCTTCTGGGTCAGACTAAGGAGGGGCCCCGCATCTCCTGTGACTCCTGGCTGCAGGTGGAAGGCAGGTGATGTGGTGTCTGAGGGACGGTTTGACGTTTTGGGTCCAATACATCTGGATTCTAATGGAGACTTTGCCTCTTATAAGCCATGTGATTTGGGGCCAGATCCCTATCATAGAGTCCTCACTTTCTTTTCTGTAAGTGCTGGCAATAATACCCATGTTAGATTTGCCTGAGGATTAAAGAAGATTGTTCACACTAGTAATAATAGGCAACATTAATTGAGCTCCCGCTATATTCTAGTTTTGGGGCTTTATCACCTCATTTAAACCTTAAACAACTCCTTGAAGTAGGCATTATTATCCCATTTTACAGATGAAGAAAATAGAAACTCATCTGCTCAAGAGCACATAGCTAATTGTTGCAGAGAACAGGATGCAAACTGGAGTGCAAATTCTGACTCTGCCATGCTCCTCCCCTACCAAGCATGTAGCACAATGCCTGGCACACAGTAAGTGCCAAATGAGAGCTAGTCTCTTTCCTCTGGTCTCTCTGGAAGCTGGAGGGGTGACTCCAGATTGGAGTAGCAGTTGCTGGGCACTTCCCATGCATGGTCTCAGTTATTCCTGTGACAGCCTGATGATGTTGTAAATTTTCTTAGTGTTGCCTTTTTTTTTTTTTAATCACCTTTATCTTCTTGATCATAACATGGAATAGACCCAGGTCCATGCGATGCCTTCAACCTTTGCCTGCCAGGCCTTGGTTTCTTGTCAGCCTCTCACACCCACCCAATCTTCCCATTCTCCAGAGGGGCCTGGCCCAGCCTGCAGCCCCTAAGCACAGATGGTCAGGATGGCTTTAAAGTTGGGCTGAGCACCTGAGTCTGAAAATCCAGGCTTCCCTGAGGGTGTGCTATCAATACTCAGCTTATGTCTGCACACAGACGTTCAGTGCTGGGAGGAGAGAGGAAGGAGGGTATCCCACAGAGTGGGAGGAGTGCCAGGCTGGGAGCCCACGTGCTAGGCCCCCACTGCCTCGGCCACCCAGGTAAGCCACAGAATCCTTGCAAGGTCTAGCAGCCTTACCTACCCATGGGGTCATTGTGAAAACCTTCACTAAGGGAGTTCACCCCTAGGCGGTTTACCAGATGCGCTCACTGGCGTTATCCCGCTTTCTTCCTCTGTGATGCAAGTATTAGGCATGGGCGCTTAGCTCAGAATTAACTCACCAAGAAGGGCCACGTAGCTGGTGTGTTCAGATGGGGGTTGGAACTCAAGTTTTGGTTTCCTGGTCCACTGTTCTTTGGCTAAAGCCCAGCTCCTCATTGTGTGCAAAGGCAATTTATAAATGGTAAAATGCCTGTCAGATGCTTGGGATTCTCATATGACTTTCTCTGAGCTGGTGGAAGTATTTGGGAGAGGGAAATCAGTACCTAAACCATGTCGCAGCTCAGTTTCTCCACACTGTCGTACAGCAGCATCTTGAGAGCCTCTAGGAGAATCTCAGGATGATTGCTGTAGGTAGGCTCACATGCTGGATAATAACACAGCCTCTAGAACCTGACTCTCTGGGCTGAACCCAGGGCCCTTACTGTGTCACTTGGGGCAAGTTTTACATTCTCTGTCTTCAGCTTCCTCATCTGTAATATGGGATAGTAATAGTACCTTCCTTCCAGGGTTGTCTTGAGGATTAAATGAGATATTCAGTGTATAGAATTAGCACGATGCATGACACATAATAAAAGTTCAGTCAGTATTAGCTGCTATTATTGTTATTATTATTATTAACTGGTATATATTGAATATATGCTATGTAGTTGTTGAACTGAAATCAAAGCTGGGCAGGATCTAATACCCCACCTTATTTCTGACGCCCTTGACAAATGCCAAGTGCCCTCATGCTATCATTGAGGGTGAAGCACCCAGGTGGCTTTGGATCTCAATGAGGGAGTCAGCAGCACTTTATCTCTCTTCTTTATTCCCTCTGTCCACCAATGGAATTGGAGCTCAGGGATGGTACAGGCAGTGCAGTTTCAAAACAGCTATAGAAACAAGTTGTTTTTTTCTTTGCTGTGTTTTCCTGACAAGGGAGGCTCCTGCCTGCCCGTCTCTATCCATTTGCTTTTCACCTCTCACCACCTCCTCACCCCACTACCATCTTCTCCTCCAGCCTTTCTTGGCCATTTAATTGGCATGTTTATTCCCTTTGTCTGGCTCTGCCATCGACCTTCTGTCATTGCATGGCCCCTTCCCCCTCCTCTCTCTGCCCATGACCTCTTCCAGCAACTTTCCCACGGAAAAAAGGAAGACTAGGGAGGGTGGGAGAAGTGGGATGAAGGGAAGGGTTTTGGGGGAACAAAAGACCCTGTGAATTATTCAGAGACACAAGCAGGGGGTTTCTAAAGAGAAGAGAGGGGGGCTGTGTGGTGGAGGATGGGAGTCACCCCTCTGGCCCCCTCCTCTAGAGCTGAGGATTCTCTGTCTCCAGCTAGGCTTCAGTTGCCATAGAGACAAGACCCTTGTCCTGCCTGAGGATTCCTGGGTTGGGGCCTAACTTTGAGAAAAATGGTGCTTCTTGCTATGGTGTCTGCAGAGATATTCTCCCTCCCTCAACTCCTTTACCCTGCCACTTTGCCAGCTCTTCTCTTTTTTTCAGTTTTATATTTTAGCAACAGAAATTAAAACTTGGACACTCCATAACTGGGAAGAGCCAAACAATATGGGGAGAAGGTGTCTTCTGATCGGCCAACAAGGGGTTAGGCTGGACAGCTTTGGTGGAGTACAGTTGCCTGGAGGATGTGAGAAGCTTGCCTGGCATTGGGTTGCTGTTTTCTAGAAGGAAGGCTCAAGCATGTATAGCTGGGGCCCCACCAGGGTATGAGCAGCATGGACTACACAGGGCATTCTCCCATGGGGGAGGGGTGATCAGGTGTTGCCAACTCAGCAATTCTAAGTACGACCCAGCACTCAACTCTACACTTTGCACTTGATACCCATATCCTCAAGAATCTGAGAAAAATGGAGTGTTAAAGCAGGAAAATCCTTTATTAAGCCCAAGATCCTTTTACAGTTTGGAAATAAGAGCGTAAACAATCACTCAAATTTGCACAGGGCTCCGCTATTTATAAAGTATTTGACCTAGATTTTATATCCTCACAAAGACTCCATGGGGCAGACATTTAGGGTCCCCTGTTTGCAGCTGTGGTATCTCAGGTGTGGTCAAGGAAGTGCAGAGAGGCCGGGTGGACCTGCCCAAGTCACAGAGCAATTCCTTGCTGAGCTTGGCTACAAAGATTTCCTGACCACAGTGCAGGGCTCCTTCCATTACACCCTTCTGTATTTCATAAGCAGATATCTCCCCCTCCTCCCCAGCATCAGCCCCACAGTTTCCATGCGTGTCCAGGCCCATGTGCAGGCCTTTTCCTCCCTCCCTCCAGAAATTGCCCCCCTGAGTTGAATTCTTGGGCTGCCTGGGCAATGTGGCGCTCCAGGGATTGGAGTATTTCCTGGTTGACCAGACTGGGTGTGGAAACCTGCCAATCCAGTTTGTGGGAACAAAGGTGGCTTTTGTCACCCAGATCAGCTATTTATCAGCTGGAGTGGGGGCCTTGGAGAAGGTGAGAGGGAAGCAGGTTCAGGTCTGGGCAGCGCATGCTGCCCCCTGGTGGGAAGTCAGGGAACAGACCGCAGGAGGTCGGATCTTCCCTCCCGGCCTCTCCAGAAATGCTTCGAGAGGCCATTGGACCTGGTCATGGATGGGGATGGGGGACCCAGGGTTTAGGCTGCCACCTGTTCTCAGGTACTGGGGTGGGAAATTATCAAGAAGTCTCCCTGGCATCAGCTCTAACCCAAGATTCTCCCGCAGTTTCACAGAGAAGGAAATTGAGGCTCAGAAAAGTTAACTGACTTTGTGAGGAGCTGCTACTGGCAAGGCTCAGACTCAAACACAGTTTCCCTGACTCCCCACCCACCATGGCATGCCTGGGCCTGGGGGGCAGGTCACAGAGCCTGGAAACAAGTCCGTTCCTCTTTTTTTGGCCTGGTGGCCTTTGTTTTGAGTTCAGCTTTCCCCACCCCCCATCTAGGGGGATGATTTATCCCCCACATCTGTTATCCCACATCTGTTATTTCAATCCTCCTCCCAATGTGGTGCACATATCATTGTCCCTGGGAAGGGACCGAGGCTCCAACAGGCTCAGAATAGTGGGGGAGGCACCTATCTTTCGAGCATATGGGGAACATGCAGACCCCACTGCCAGGCGTCGAGGTCCCATCCAGCTCTCCCCTCTCCTGGTAGTGAGCATATTCCTTACATGAAGCTCTAAGCTGCATATGCTATGAGGATTACATGGACATAAGAGCTTGGCATAGTGAGTGGGCTATAGAGCCAGATGGCTAGGGTTCACATCCTTAGCTGTGGGCTCTTGGTCAAGCCTGCTTATCCTTTCTGTGCCTCAACTTCCTCGCCTGTAAAATGGGGTTAATAATAATGCCTCTTACACAGGGAGTTGGAAAGATCAGCCGGATTTATATGGTTTGAGCAGCTGAAACCGCCCCTTGTGGGAGGTGAGCTCTGTCAATGTCAGCAACTATAACACACCAAGGGCCATGGGCTGTCATGATCACTGCTGTGTCCCCAGCATCGAGCACTGTGTCTCACACAAAGTGGGCTCCATAAGCACTTTTTTTTCCCCCAATAGATGACCAGTAAGAGGATCTTAACCCTTGATTTGGTGCTATCCAGCAGCACACTCTCCCTAGCGAGCCACGGACTGGCCCTCCATAAGCACTTTTTGAATGGACAGGTAAACAGACAAATATTCTTTCTCCTCCTTCCGCTTTCCCAGCACTGCCTACCCCCGTGGCAGAAGTGCTGGCTTCCTCGGCCACCTGGCTCCAGGAGTCATCCACGGCCAGGTCCAGTTGCCTCTCCAAGCCCAGCTGTGGAAGCCTGGGTGGCAGACGGGATTGCACAAGATCCGGCCCCACATGTCCCAGATATTCCTCGTCAGCACTGTGGGAGGCCTCGCCTTTCCCAGGCAGCCGCACGGTCTCCTCCCCAGCCTGGCTCGAGTTCCTGGGAAGAAAGTCGTGAAGGGGAGGAGGGAAAAGGAGAAAAAGGATAAGTGGCAGCTGTTGGAGCAGTGGTTTCCAAATGTTGGACCGCTTATCCTTTCTGTGCCTCAACTTCCTCGCCTGTAAAATGGGGTTAATAATAATGCCTCTTGCACAGGGAGTTGGAAAGATCAGCCGGATTTATATGGTTTGAGCAGCTGGAACCGCCCCTTGTGGGAGGTGAGCTCTGTCAATGTCAGCGACTATAACACACCAAGGGCCATGGGCTGTCATGATCACTGCTGTGTCCCCAGCATCGAGCACTGTGTCTCACACAAAGTTGGCTCCATAAGCACTTTTTCCCCCCCAATAGATGACCAGTAAGGGGATCTTAACCCTTGACTTGGTGCTATCCAGCAGCACACTCTCCCTAGTGAGCCACGGACTGGCCCTCCATAAGCACTTTTTGAATGGACAGGTAAACAGACAAATATTCTTTCTCCTCCTTCCGCTTTCCCAGCACTGCCTACCCCCGTGGCANCCTTTCCCAGGCAGCCGCACGGTCTCCTCCCCAGCCTGGCTCGAGTTCCTGGGAAGAAAGTTGTGAAGGGGAGGAGGGAAAAGGAGAAAAAGGATAAGTGGCAGCTGTTGGAGCAGTGGTTTCCAAATGTTGGACTGGGGGTTGGCTACATCTGCATTTTCTCAGAAGCTTTGGAAAAATGCAGATTCTTGTGCTCCATGGGTGAGGATTCTCATTTAGGCGTGGGGTCTGTCTTTTTAAAAGTATCTTAGGTAGCTTTTGTCCCCTGGTTTGAACTTGCTTCTTTATTTTTTCATTTCTTCAACAAAATCGATTGAATGCCTACTAGTGCTAGGCTCTAAATAAAACAAAGATATTTGCCCTTGTAGCGCTTAAATTCTAGAAGGGGAGATAGTAAGCAACAACTTATTTTAAAAGATTATAAGCTCCATGAAAAACAAAAAAAGAAAAAAAATTGAGTCAGGTGAGAGGGCTTAGAAGTCCCAGGGTGGGATGGAGGGGTAGGCAGCAGTGTTAAATAAGAAGGTTGCAGGCACCTCACTGAGAAGGTAAGATTCAAGCCAAAACTAAAGGAGATTTGGGAGGGAGCTAAGCAGTTTTCTGGTGGAAGAGCATTTCAGGCAGAGAGAACAGCATGTGCGAAGGCTCTGAGGCAGGAGAATCCTGGTATGTAGGAGGAATAACTAGAGCAGAGTAAATGGGCAAGTGATATGCAAGGAGGCCAGAGAGATAAAGGAAATCATGCAGGGATGTGTAGACCTTGCCAGGATGTTGACTCTGAGTGATCTGAGGAGTCATATTGAGTTTTGAGCTTCTGAGTAGAGAAGTGACATGGTCTGACTTAGGTTTTGAAGATATCACCTCCAGCCACTGTGTTAAGAACTTCCTGATCTTTAGTAGTGTTAACTACTGGTGCGTTCTGTCCCACTTGTCAAAACCATAATATATCTGCTCTTTCCTTCTACAGGGTCCCCACCGTCCCAGTGAAGAACTTAAATGGGTCTAGTCCTGTCAATCCTGCCTTGGCAGGTAAGAGAAATCCTGAGATGTACTTGTGTCATGTAGAAAACTCAGAGTAATAGAATAAATACTGAGCAACTGTAAAAAGGGAGAGAATTTGGATATTAATTAAAGCAACTGGTGATTTTAGGAATTGCATGGGAAGAGCGGGAAGAGTTTGGGGAGAATTGATTGCTAAAAGCAAAGCATGCTATTGCAGTTGAGTGGATGAATAAGTTTCTGGAAACAGTAGAGGTTAGAGAGAATACATGAATTATGAGTCTGCTGGAAAGGAGGAGGGCTGGTTAAGAGTGAGAGAGGAATTTGGGGATTTGAGTGGATGAATAAGTTTCTGGAAACAGTAGAGGTTAGAGAGAATACTTGAATTATGAGTCTGCTGGAAAGGAGGAGGGCTGGTTAAGAGTGAGAGAGGAATTTGGGGATCATTGGGAGCTAATTCTTCAGTCCTTCCTCCCCCATGCCCTGCCCCTTGTAGGAATCACCGGGATCCTGATGAGTGCAGCAGGGCTGCCGGTGTGTCTCACCAGGCCACCAAAGCTGGTCCTACACCCGCCCCCCGTCAGCAAGAGCGAAATAAAATCCATCCCAGGGGTTTCCAACACAAGCCGCAAGACCACCAAAAAACAAGCCAAGAAAGGTACCGGCCTCTTTATCTTACCTGGCTTCCAGCCCTCGCTCCACATCTGCTGCCAAGGGCCATAGCCATGGCTTAACCCTTGTACCTTCACTCTTGCATCTGCCAAATGGGCCTCACCAGTAGATTTTTATGATTATACCAAAATGGACCTGATGGAAAAACCGTGAGATATATGAATATACAGTACGAAAATACAGAAACATAAAAATATAAAGTGTGGTAAAAATAAAATATGTTAGGGGGGAGGCTCACTTTGATGTTGGAACTGAGACAGATTGGATTCAAACGCGAACTTTATCATGTTGTATGACTGCGTGGAACCTCTTTCTCATCTTTATAATGGGGTAAAAACATGCACAACCAGTATCCAGGAGGTACGTCCTGGAATACATCCCTGACAGTTGGGAAGTAGCCAGTGTCTTGTGTCCTCCTAGAACCTCCAGAAGCTCTGGCCACTTGACCTCTCCTTTAGGAACCCCTTCCTACCTGCCCATGACCCAGCAACTAAAGGGTCAATCCTGTACCTTCCTGGTACCAGGAACCTGGCTGAGCTCTGAGGCTGGTCTTTCTGGTCGCTGGCATTGGTTGTTAAATGATTCAACCCCTCTCCCCATCCTGAAGCCCCCATCTTGCGAGCTTCTTATAAAGTTTAAATCGGATCATGTGTATATTGCACTTAGCTTAGGGCCTGGCA